CTAAGACGGCGGCGGCTGCAGCGGCAGCAGCGGCATCATCATCGTCGTCATCGTCATCATCATCATCAAGCGGATGTAAAAAGTCACAGAAATTTGATCCTCGACTACTCGGCCCGTCACGGTATCGTCAACTTTTGCCAGTTGTGCTTTGCATTCTATCGTTCGCGATCGTCTTCAGCATATTAATTGTTTACATGGATACGACAGGTGAGTTTATTAGATCGTAAATATATGTATTTATGCACTTAAATATCTTCCAAAAAAAAAAAAGAAATGTTCATTCCATTGCCTGTTTCATTAGTGAGGGCTTGAAAACATTCTGGTGCTGCACGGGTATCGGCGCAGTGGCGCTCCCTGATGTTTTACATATTTGAACGATGAGTTTGTTGTTTACCTTTCTTATTGTTTTTGTTTTCGGGTTCTATCTACCGGAAGCAAAGGCACTGGCCGCTGATGCTGCAGGCACACTTTCGGTATCAAATAACATCCTCCTAGTTAAGAAAGAAAAAAAATATTCAGTTTTTCTCCAAAAATTATTCTAAAAAGTTTATCCAACTGTCATTTGTCGGACTTTAGTGTAATAAAAACCGTTTTTTAGCCCATTATACAATATTAACGATGGCATACACAATTGAGAAAAACTAGATATCGAATTACGTATTTACTTAGCAGAAAACTAAAGTTTATAAGTTGTGGATTATTTTGACGTGTGTCTTTTTCGTTGAGGACAGGTAACTTCGTTTGAAAAGCCAAGTGCAGCATCGTCTGTTCAAAGTCTTCTATCTGTTTTAATTAAGTGCATTATTCTAGAATGGTTTGGAGAGTGGCTAGCTCGAATGAGTAGTATGATACATATATGTATACACCAGATTGAAGTATGATGATTTTGAAGTGCCTTCTAAGGAGTGGTGGCCACATAATATGAGGTTTGACCAATTCATTTTTTTTTGTTATTTTGATTTTTTTTTACAAAATATATTTTACACTACACTTTCTACAAAAATGTATAAAAATTCAAAATTCTTGTATAAAAATTTAAAAATTTGAGTCAGTAGTTAGTATAATAAGTTATGGAAATAAATAATTGTCGAGCGTTTTCGTTGTCACTGTTTGCATGCAACAATAAGTTCTGCAATAATAAAAAAAAAATACAATAAAATACATAAATACATTATTTTAAACAAAGGGTTTTATTTTATAAAATATATTTAATAAAATGAAAATAATACATCAACACTTTATTTGATTCAATCAATAAAAGTATCTCTCTTAAGAAATTGTAACACAAAGCCAATAATAGATCGTTAACGTTTAATTTTCTAGGTTTTTTTCATATACAGTGTCGGAAAAAAGTATTGGCACAGAGAATTTTTCGAAATGGTTGCAAAGTTTTTTATTCAAATTTTTTTCGAAAATTTTCTATAAAAATATAGTTTATACTACAACAAAAAAAACATAAAAATAAAATCTCGAAACTTTGTGCAAAACTCAGGAAAAGTCTATAAATTTGCCTACTGATTTTCAACTGTCTATTCGATTTTTTTTTTTGAAATTTCCTAATTATGTATATAGTTTTGTAGCTCATTCAATTTTAATACAATTTTGAAGTTGCTAAAAACCGTGTTGGACGGTATTATTATTCTCTTCCATACAAAAAAAAATAAAATAATAAAAATATCGAAACTACTTTTTACGGAAGAAACTGCGTAAAGAAATTGTCAGAAATCAACAACTTCAAACTTGCACTTTGTTATACTAAAATTAAATGGGATATAAAATTGCATAAGTATTTAAAAATTTTCAAAATAAAAATCATATTAGAAAGTTACAAATTAATATGCCCATTTATTAAATTTTCATGAGTTTTGCACAAAGTGTAGAGATTTTATTTAGAACTAGCAAATACCCAGCGTGCTTCACTACGCCTTAAGATTATT